GTGTCAGTGTGCCGCCCCTGCTGCGCACAAACCACGGAGAGCCAGGGTGTGAGCGCATCTCCAGCCAGAGCTGGGCTGAAGCGGGTCCCTGGCCCCGGCATCTGACTTACCCTTGCTGACCTTCGAACTGCTCCCGCCCCGAGAGTGAGACATCTTCTCAAACCCTGGTGTGCTTGGTGGGCACGGGAGGGACAGACTGCAGGGAGGAGTTGGGGGGAAGATGGACTAGCATCCTGCAAGGGTTGGACTTTTTCAATCTCCAACTTCTTAGGCCTCGGTTGGCACTAATTCTTATAAGAGAAATTATTACCACGGACCTATAGTGGCACCACCTTTGGCACAGGGCCACTGTAACCCGAGCATCCCACAGCAAGCTACTGACAGGAGGAATTCAGCCAGTGAGGGCACTATTGACATCTTACTCTTCACGTGAAGACGGTCGGGCACCTCATTTCCTGCCAGCATCATTCATGGGCTGCACGGTCCAGCCCTGCTTATCACGAGGCCAGCTTCGGGCCCAGCAGGGGCTCTGCTGGAGAAGGACGGGAGTGGCCGCCTCAGAACCAGAGGCAGCTGGTTCCACCCTGTCCTGTAGGGTTGCAGTGAGTTGGTATCAACTCCATGGTGGTGAGTTTGGCTGTTGGTGTTAATGTGTGGCTGACACTGTTCCTCTTTGGGGAGGTGTGGCCTGTCCTGCTGGCTGGCACAGATGCCTTCTTGGCCGGACGCTCCCCAGCCCTGGTGTTTTAAAACCCATGAAGCCGCTTGGTGGTCCCACGGATGGCAGGTTGCTTGTGGGCTGTGACCCACGGTGGGTGGGGCTTCCTTGCTCTGAAACCAGGCCCCAGCCCAAGCCAGGCAGAGCCCACCAACCCCACTGACTGGGCTTTGACCCTCTCTGCAGCTGCTAATGGTACAGGGCAGCCCAGGTGGCCCACCTGCCTTCACCGGCTCTGCAATCTTGCGCCTGCCCACGCTGGAGCAGGGGAGGGTGCGGAGGGCCAAGGGCAGGGCTGTGCTGCCTGCCCAGGGTCACTGGCTACCTCTGTGCCCACCATCAGTGGTCACTGGTCACCGCTGCGTCCAGCCACAGGTTTCTGTCCCACACATGGGAAGAAATGTTGGGGACACAAGGAGGGTCTCACTGGTGCTTTCCTGTGTGTCCCCTGCCTCAGTTTCCCCACTGTCGCATGAAGGTACTGCATCAGGACCTCCAGAGGGCCCTCCAGCTCCCACTCAGCCCGCCTGCACCCTTGCTCGCTGCTCCACCCTCCCTCTAGGCCCACTTCCCCTCCGCAGGCCCTGCGCACCCGGCAGCTTCTCCTCCCGGGCTGGACCTGAGCAAGTTCTGTGATATAGTTTAAGTTTATTGTGCCAACCTGGCCAATAAACACATGTGGGGTTAATTGAAGGGTGGAGAGATAAGTGGCTCGGTTAGCCTCGCCTTTCTAGCTCTCCGGTCTCTTGCTTTGTGATGGTCACACGAGGGTGCAGCTGCCTTAGCAGTTCCCTGCTTC